GCCAAAGGAATAAAAGTATTATCACATGTAGTTTCTTTCTTTCTTTTTTTTTTTAGGATTTTATTTATGTATTTATTTGACAGAGAGGGACACAGCAAGAAAGGGAACACATGCAGGGGGAGTGGGAGAGGGAGAAGCAGGCTTCCCGCGGAGCGGGGAGCCCGATGCGGGACTCGATCCCAGGACTCTGCGATTTAAGGACTGAGCCACCCAGGCGCCCCACCCCTGTAGCTTTTTAAGAACACTTAAAAATATAAACCTAGAATATGATTGAAGGGTAGCAGAATATGCCATCCCAGAATATGCCTTTTTGGGATACAGATTATTTTGAGCTGATTAATTTTTTTTTTAAACGAAGCTCCATGCCCAATGTGGGGCCTGAACTCACAACCCTGAGACCAAGAGTCTCATCTTCCACCCGCTGAGCCAGCCAGGCGCCCCTGAGCAGATTGGTTTTGAGAAGCATCAGCCACAGAAGCTCTGAAAACAGAGCAGAAGGTTATCCTTCTGTAAGGGACAGTTAATTTTATAAAGGAAACCTACATTTGTAAGGATGTCTCCCTCTTTGTGCCAGGAAGACAAGGGTGGTTTTTAAAAAAAATTTTTTTTTTTTTTAAAGATTTTATTTATTTGAGAGAGAGAGTGAGAGAGAGAGAGCACAAGAGGGGGGAGCGGGAGAGGGAGAAGCAGACTCCCCGCTGAGCAGGTAGCCCGATGCGGGACTTGATCCTGGGACTCCAGGATCGTGACCTGAGCCGAAGGCAGTCGCTTAACCAACTGAGCCACCCAGGCGCCCGACAAGGGTGGTTTTATTTTTTTTATTTTTTATTTTTTTAAGATTTTATTTATTTATTTGAGAGAGAGAATGAGATAGAGAGCATGAGAGGGGGGAGGGTCAGAGAGAGAGGCAGACTCCCTGCTGAGCAGGGAGCCCGATGTGGGACTCGATCCTGGCACTCCAGGATCATGACCTGAACCGAAGGCAGCCGCCCAACCAACTGAGCCACCCAGGCGCCCCAAGGGTGGTTTTAAATCCTATCCTCGGAGAAGTCTTTGAGACGACTTAAATCGGCACAATAAGCCTTACCCCTGTTTCCCATGCTTTTCCGGTTAAACCCCCATGGCAGTGGTTCTGGCCTCTGGGATTTACTCTGTTTTTCCTGGGGGCTCTCCCATGTATGCTGGAGGTATGCCTGTTCATAAACTTCTGTTGGTTTCTCTCCTGTTAATCTGTCTTTTGTTACAGAGGATTTTAGCCCAGAGCTCAGAAGGGTCGAGGGAAAATGGCTATTCCTCCCCTGTGGATTAAGCTTGCATGTCCCCCTAAGCCAGCTTCAGTGGGTATCAACTCATGACTGGTCTTGACCCATCTGGACCCCACTCACTCTCATGCTTCCCAAGATTATTTTCAAGCAGTTCTTAAGTACTGCATCACTTTATCTGTATTTTAGTGTGTATCTTTAAACACTATGGACTCTTTCCCCTATATAATCTAATGCCATTATTATGCATAAACATTAACACTGATACTAGATATCATCAGTATCTAGCTAGTGCTCACATTTCTTTCTTTTTTTTCCCTTGCAGCTTGAATCCATATCCAAATCAGGTGCATTTGGTTGATAGAGGCTGTTTGGGTTCCTTTCCATTCTCTCTCACTATAATTTTATTTATTTTTTCTAATCAAATACTTGACACCGAGTTGTTTGTCCCATAGAGAGTCCCACAGTCAGGCTTTGGCCTATCACTTAGGCCCTGTATCATTGAACATGTTCTTCTGGAAACTTAAATTGGTGGCTAGATCTAGAAGCTTGATCTGACTCAGTTTTTTTTTTCTCTTCTTGTCCTTGGCAGATTTGCTTCATAGGTCTGGTGGTGTGCCTCACGTGTTAGGTACATCGTGTCTGCTTGTCTTTATTGTGTGGGTGATGTTAGGAGCACTATTCATGATCATTGCTCAAGATCCATTAATTTACTAGGCTGTTGCAAAATGGGGTGGTTCTCATTCTTCCTGTGTTCATTCACTGCTTTTCCTCTGTTAACCTTAAGAATAGAACTTCCTAGGGCGCCTGGGTGGCTCAGTTGGTTAAGCAACTGCCTTCGGCTCAGGTCATGATCCTGGAGTCCCGGGATCGAGTCCCGCATCGGGCTCCCTGCTCAGCGAGGAGCCTGCTTCTCCCTCTGACCCTCCCCCCTCTCATGTACTCTCTCTCATTCTCGCTCTTTCAAATAAATAAATAAATCTTAAAAAAAAAAGAATAGAACTTCTTAGTTAGGTTACCGCAAAAATGGGTTTATTCAGGCATGGCAGACAGTTGCAGTCTGGGACAAGCAAGCTCTGGCCAAACCGTAGGCAAGTCCGCCCAACACTCTTTTATGGGAGAAAGTAGGAAGTTGGGAGGGGCTGTTCTAAACAGGCTTACCCTTTTGCTGTTACGGTTCACTCGATAATTTTTGTCTGATAGCTTGTTTCTATTTCCGTGTTTTCTTTCTTTTCTCATGGATCAGGCATGGTGGGGTTGGGCAAGAAATGTTTCCTGTACATGGGACAGCCATGCCCACGGGGGAGGTTTTGGCATCTAGCCATGTAATAAGTTACCCTAAAAAGCAAGAGGTTGTGGGGGGCGGTTTGAGATGTCAGGGGTTTCAGGGAGCTGAATGCCGAATACTCCATTAAGAAGTACCTGCTGCAAAGACTCTGAAACGCTGGTAGGACCTTGAATCATGGGGTGTTGTGGTATCATATTGGGCTAGAAATCCCTCATGGTTTTACAATCAAGAAGAATTCCTGTGAAGGAGTAATAAAGACCATATTCTCAGTTGGTTTGTGGGAAGGATCTTCACCGGGCAGAGATGGGCATGTTTGCTCGAACAAGTTTTGACCTTGCTCCTGCTCTCCAGAAAGTTTTAATATGGTTAGTTTCAAGTTTGATAATACCTATTTTCCTGGGTTTATTTCTTTGTAGCTGAGGGTGAGGATAGAGAACAGACAGATGAGTGGGAAGCTAGGTGTTCCAAGCTGGCATTCCTCATTAGTGAGCCCGTTTGTTTGATCGGTTAAGTACTGTCAGCAGAAAAATCCAAGGTGCTTGGGTGGTAGTGCTCTACCTTTATTTTGTGCTCTTTTTCACTGGGTTTGTTGCATCTATCCATTTTCTCTCTGAGGGGTGACTCTGATTATATTTTCCTATGCCCATGCCCATGTTAGGCTCAAATGGAGAGCCGAGGACCAGAGATGATCCTAAGTTTTAGGAAAGTTTGGGCCGGCAGGTGTTACCTCTGGGCTCCCAGTAGGCAGCCCCAGGGTGATGTACTGCTGACCTGGGCTGGGACCGCCCATGTGTATGTACAGTTTGATGTTCTCACTTTGCTGTGGAAGCCTCCAGATCTTCATCTCAGTAATCCCATAAACTGTTTTATGGCCCGCTGTATTTGGGTTGCTTTCATAAACTCTCAATGCTTCTTGGGACGAATGATTGGACATGCTTCACATGTAACAGTGAGCCTTTGTGTTCTTGAGATCTGATTGTCTTCAATGAGCAGCATTTCCTTGTAGTAGAAAAGTGCCATGACCTCATGAAAGGTGAGGCTGGAGGTGAAGTTTGTGAACGAGTGTGTGCATGAGTGTGCAGTGTTGGGGTTTATAATGTCACACCCATCTCAGGGATGGGAACAGCTTTCTGTAAATATCCTGAAGGGGCACTAGTTGGGTGAGAAGAATATGCATGTCAGTTGTGTTTCGGGTTTGGGTTTTTGGGGTTCCCTTGCCCTTCTGGGCTATGGGTTCCTCCCTCGGGACAGATGGAGGAGAGCCACCAGAAGCAAACCTGTTGGTTGTTTGCCAGTCTGTGTTAATAAGGACAGGTTGCTCAAGAGGAAATGTTTCAAAGTCGAGTTCTTGAAAGATTTCCAAACTTTTGGCATTAGATGAAGTGAGGTGGAGGGCCTGTGTGTTTACTTTTGGCGACATGCATTTGCACCGAGTGTTTGGTATTCTTTGATGCCAGAGGAAGGTACCTTACAAGAGTGGATGTAGGTTGTGGGGTGGAGCGGCCATCTGGCATGGAGGGGCAAGTTTTGCCGTTTCTTTGTCTTTAGTTTTAGGGGAAGAAAATTGCTTTCCTTAAGTCTTATTTAGGAGGTAAGCCCCAGTGCTTTCTTAACTCAGTGGTGTAGGATTTTAATTTTTTGCCTTGGGGAATGGAGGATTGTTAAAATTCTTCAAAACCAGCACCTGCAATGTATGGCTGATGGCGAACCAGGGATGGCATTATTTTGAGCTTGCCTTCTGCTGTGTTAAATTTTTGACTCCAAGGCGGTGCTGCTCAGCTTCTAGGGGTAGAGACATTCAAGACTGTGGCTGAGAGCCTGGGAGCCTCCTGAGCCTGGTCCTTTTCCTTACTCCAACAGAACTTGGAGACTGGACTCCGTTCTTTCGATCTACTGACACGTGGAATTTGGGGTTGGGCCCGGATCTGTATTTGCGCCAATATCTCCATTCTTTTAATGGCTGTTTAAATGCAGAAGGGGTTTGCAAGAGTGTGCCTCCCATGAGCGAGCCATTTGTGACTTTGCTTTGGGCTGGGATGTTAACAGTGGAGACCCCATGGGCAGGTTGTGAGCTGGGGCTGCCTACCTGTGAGCACATGCCTTACCATTCTTTTGCCCCTTTTTTCCTTACTCATCTTGGCCAAGACTTATCTGGTAGTCTGCCAAATGCGTTCTAAACACGGGTTGCGATATTTTTCGAGGACCCTCAGTGTACCCAAGCACAATGAACTAAAGTTTTATGGCTTTTGCTCTTAGAATATTGGCTGAAGGTTAAACTATTATGTGCTTGTCTTACATAAGAGAGGGGTTCTGTTTTTCTTTGGGATTAGTGATGAATGTAGCACTTTGTTAAAATGCCTTTTTAACATGCTAGTAATAAACGCAAAGCTATGTTAAGAAAAACTGATAGGACCTGTATTTCTAATTACGGCTTTCTCCTTTCCTTTTAGGAAGGCACCAAAGTAGTCCAGCCCATATTTTTGGGGAAAATTATTAGTTATTTTGAAAACCATGACCCCACTAATTCTGTGGCTTTGCATGAAGCCTACATGTATGCCACGGTGCTGACCATCTGCACGCTCATCCTGGCCATATTGCACCATTTATACTTCTATCATGTTCAGTGCGCGGGCATGAGGCTACGCGTCGCCATGTGCCATATGATTTATCGGAAGGTAAGTGCCATTTGGTATCAGAATGTCTACCTCACCCAAAGCATCAAAAGCATTTTGGGAAAGTTCATAAATTAAAAATTTTGTAAAAAGGATCTCTATTTTTATTTCTTTAGTTCAAGGCGGGGGGCACAGGGAGAGAGAGAACCCCAGGCAGACTCCACGCCCAGCATGGAACTGGACGCGGAGCCCGACTCAGGGCCAGTCTCAGGACTCTGAGTCATTGCTCCTGAGCTGAAATCAAGAGTTGGACACTGAACCGACTGAGCCACCCAGGCGTCCCATTAAATAAAATCTTTAAAAAAAAAAAAAAAGAAAAGAAAAAAAATAGTTGATGTTGGGGATGAAACTTTAAATTTTACATTGTCTTTAGTAATTTTGGAGAGAACTTATGTTCTGCTTTATATTGCTTTCCATTCAAGTTATTATTTTATGCACTATTTTCTTCTCTTTAGTGTACATTGCAGCAATTTTAATGACAAGACCCAGTTTGATGTATTCAGTGTTTTGTATTGAGAAATGCCATTAAGTTCTCCCATAGTTTACCCTGGTCTTAAGTATTATGAAGGGAGTGAGGATTTCAGGTGTCTTTACCAAGGAGTTGCCACAGACAGAAGAAGTGATGAGAACTGAAGGGCCCTTTACAAACTGGACCCTGGATATCTCTTTGCTTTGGGCCGTTTGCTTTAAAAACAAAAACAGAAACACTCCATTTTAACTGTATTGTGTACTTGAAATTTGCTAAGAAAGTTTGATCTTAAGCGTTCCTGCCATACACACAAAAGGATAACTATGTAAAGTGATGGATATATTAGCTTGACTGTAGTACTCATTTTCCAGTGTATATCTGTCAAAATATGACGTTACACCTTAACTATATACAATATTTTTTAAGTTTTTTTTTTTTAGTAATCATCTTTACACCCATTGTGGGCTCAAGCTTATGACCCTGAGATCAAGAGTCCCATGCTTTTCTGACTGTGCCAGCCAGGTGCCCAATATATACAATTTTTATTTAAAAAAAAAAAATCCTTATTGAAAGTTAAAGCCAAACAATTTAAATTTAAAATATTGCTTTTTTTTTTTTTAAAGATTTATTTATTTATTAGAGAGAGAGAGAGCATGAGAGGGGGAGAGTCACAGGGAGAAGCAGACTCCCCGCTGAGCAGGGAGCCCGATGCGGGACTCGATCCTGGGACTCCAGGATCATGACCTGAGCCGAAAGCAGTCTGCTTAACTAACTGAGCCACCGAAGTGCCCCTAAAATATTGCTTCTTTAACCTAGTTGCTGCTTATCTAGAGCTTCTGTTTCTTTTTTTTTTT